CAATTCTTACTTTCAAAATAAAAGTGTTCGACCTAGAGGATGTGAATGATAAATTGATCTTTATACTTGTTTCTTTGATAATGTTCAAAATGAGTTCAAAGCCTCTAGTCATATTTAATGGGTGTTGGTTGGGTCATGTTGACTCATCCTAAGACCACTCATAATAGTAAGGAGGAACATATTGCAAAACTCAAATATTCACAAGAAAAATAACTAAATAAAACTTTCAAGAAAGTATTTAATATGTGTTTGTATTTTACAAAAATAACAAAGTTCTAACTTCACAAGGATATAATTCTTTTAATAATTTTAATATATTCAGGTTAATTTTTTGGTCAAAATATAAATTTTGTTCTTTAAAACCTTAAAGTTTTAACTTCATGGGAACAAAACCATTTTAAGAATTATATCATCCACATGTTAATTATTTTGATAAACTATTTAAATTTTTTGAAAACAACATTACACATTTAAAAAAAAAAATAACAAAAACCCAACTTCTCGAGGACATAACCCTTTTAAAAATTATATTATACTTGAATCAATTTTTTGACCAATAAACATCACACAAAGAAACCAAAAACCCATATAATCATAACATTATATGAAAATCCAACAATAATTAATAAACACAAAATCATAATAAAATTAACAGTGTATTACAAATTCATCAAAATAGGTAAGTTATTGTATTTGGGTTTGAAATTGACCAATAAAAATTAATGAAGTTGGCTAGAAAATGTTGTTAGACTATATTAACAATATCGATGTGTGGGTTTCACACATTGTCATTACTATTAAGGTGAGAGATCACACATTAGTGCTAGTAATGCATGTATATAGTGTGAGAGATAAAATAGAAAGTAGACTAAGGTATTCTTTTGTTTTTGGTAGGGAGGGTTTTTTTTTTTTCCTGTTTTTAGCTTTTTTTTTCTTTCCATGTCTCATTAATTTTTTTTATGTGTTGTGTTTTTCTTGTTTCTTTTGTTATTTCTTTACTCATATTGAAATCTCCCTTGATTTTCTCTTAATTTTTCTTCATCTTTCTTTGTCTGATTTATCTCTTCTTATGTATCCAAGATAGTTTATTTATATGTCATTTTTTCTAGACTTTTTATCACTTCTTATCCCTTATCTCCTCACTCTTCTATATTTTATCTCATCATTGTTTTAGAGAGTGACTCAAACTATGGTTATTTATTTGAGTCTTTGTTTCTTTTACTTGATTGTCGTTCTACTCCTTATTTTTTGAATTTTTTTATGGTTAAAAAAAGGGATAAAAAATAGATTGTGACAATAATAATCACCTTATACATCTAATCTAAAATAAGTTACTTTATATTTGTTTTTAATTATAAAAAAGTTTAATGTGCTTACAAACTAAAAGTTTGCCTAAACTAATACATTTGTATTTGTTATTAAAGGTAAGATACAATTACGGATAAGAATCGTAATTTAGGACATGAGCTTTGTAACAAGGCATAATCCTAACTTTTAAAACAAAAGCATTAGACTAATTTATACGTGAGCAATTGATAAATATAAATCTATTCAAGATTATGTTGATTGAAATAGGTTTAAAGACCAATATTCATACTTAATGGACATATGTGGGATTATAATGATCCAACTTAAATTTACTCACATAATCAAAGAAAGGTATTCTAAAAAACAAGAACATGAAAATAAATTCATATATATCAACATGAATATATAGATTATTTACAATTAAATTTTAATGTTAAGGTTTTACAAATATTTATATTTATAAATTTAAAAATAGTGTTGTCACTATAAATAACTTTGCTTCTTGAAGGTTAGTGCTTGTGTAGCTAGAACAATAGTTTTGAAGAGTATTGTCATGGAGACCCTTATTATTACTATTAATATATCTTATTTAAATGTGTATTTATGATAAAATTATTATTTTATTTTTAACTTTGTAATGAAGCAAATATTTTATTAGATATATAATTTATTTTATTGATGTTAATTATTTTTCATGAAAAATAATTAATCAGGTGACCTATTCTTTTTTTTTCCTTCTTTAATTTGTCTTTTTGGTCATATCAGTTTATCTCATCTTTCTTTCTTAAGCATTGATCTTGAATGTTATTTTTTGATCATTGCAATCTTTATAAGATTTTAAATTGACTTTTATTAATATTAATTATTTTGCATGAAAAATGGTTTAGGGAATAATAGTTTTTTACAAAATTAATATTCAGAAATGCAGCTTTTTAAATTATATTATTTTCTCAATACTTTTTAAACTATGTCATTGTCTAAAGAATTTTACCAAACATTTATTTTTCAAAAAAAATTAAAATATCACAAAAAGAAATGCACTTGAGGGTATTTTTGTAAATTAAAAAAGACACTTAAGAATAAAATTGATATAATAAAATAATTATGAAATGGAGTGCCCTTTTAAGCAGCCCTTCGAAGAATCGTACCTGATAGGCTGTCGATGGTGCTGCCTTTACAGTGAAAAAGGACCGTTGAAGGATGGCGGTTTTAGCAGTATATGGCGTTGGGGGATCAAATCCTTTTCTTATCTGTTCTTCTTTATCTCTTATCAATTATTGCTTCTAAAACCCCAAAAAAGAATAGTGGTCTGGGCACGTGTTAGTTTTAAAGTGGTCAGGAGATCTGTCAAAATAACAATCTGTGCTTCAACCATTCCTCTACCTAAATATTTTTTTTAAGATTACAAAATAAAAAAATAAAAGACTTCAAAATTTATGTATGAAAATAACATGGTTTAAGGACTCCTAGTCATCCATGATTTTCTTAAAAAAAAAATTGAGAGGAATAATTTTAAAAATTATTTAAATTTTGAGTTTAGAAAATAAATTAAACTTTATTTTTATACACGAATAAGTGATATATTCTTGTACAAACACTAGAATACAAGAATAAGTATTCTATTTTTATACAAACTTTATAAATAAAAAAAATTATATTTTTGATGTAAAGTTAAATAGGTTTGACATAAGATATAAGATATGACTGAAATTGTTTTGGAAGGCGAGAAAACTACAACACTTATTAAGATAAAACTATGTACACCTATTTTTTTAATAAAAAAAAGAATTTGTTAACAATAAATAAAATATTTTTTTATAATTAATAAATAAAATGCTAAAACCTATAAATTCTTTAAAAAATAAAGAGTATGCTTCTTTAAAAAAATATTTTTTTTTTTTTTACACTTTTATATTTATATTTATATTTATCTTTTAGTTTATTATTTAAAAGTTTTTTATGTTAAAATAGTTCTTTTTATTATTGAGGATAAGAGGGAGTTTGTTTACGCGGCTGCGTCTGCGTTTTAATTAAAACGCAGCTTGCAGCCGTTTGATAAAGAAAAAAAATTGATTTACTATGTATGGATCCCATATAATTTTTATGTTTGAAATACAGTTAATAAAAATAAGAAAATCCTGCTTTTCATGCATAGTTTATGTTAATTTCACTCTTTAATTAATAGTATAATTAACATGAACAGTGTATATTGATACACTGTTTAGCAAACAGTGCAAGAGAATTGTACTGTTCACTTAAAAATAATGAACAGTGTAATTCATGGTTCACGAGTGAATTGCACACAGTTTTTTTTAATGTTAATTTTATTAATATTTTTTTAAAAAAAATTAGAGTGAATTAAATTTATTTGTATTGTGATGTGAACAATATTTTTTTCTCGAAAAACTAGTTAAAATGAATTAAATTCACTCATACTATAATATCAATTTTATACCTGATAATATTTTATCTAATTTTATTACACACTCAAAAAATTATGAAAACTTAAGTTCTTATTGAATGAATTTTATATGTAACGAAATTATAAATAGTTGAATGAAATAATAAAAAATATTTTATATAAAGTATTATTTATTTTATGATATAATAGGAGTACTTAATTATACAATATTTAAATTTAAAACCATTAATATTAATATATATATATTTTTAAAATTATTTTATAACCTCAATTTCAAAAGCATTCTTAACCAAACACTTTAAATTATTTTTTTTCAATCTCAATTTCAACCATAATTTTAACCAAATATCTACTTTTTTAAATTAATTTAAATTAAAAATATTTTTTTTCAAATCATAATCATAATAACTACTAAGTACCAGTGGCAACTATGCTCTACTACAGTACCAGTGGCAAGTATGCTCCAAGTCTCGTAGATAGTCACAATAAAGAGAGAAACTGAGAGCAGCATAGCAAAACCATTTAGTCATTGACCTTTTCATATCTATTTTTATCGACGAAAGGTCTCACAGCGAGGAAAATTATACCAAAAAAAGCCCTAGGCAAAGGGCTAAACACAAGCTTCCCATCTTCTTTATTCCGGATTGAATCAAAGCTTAGAGGCCCCAGGCCATACAGCATCCAGCAGCAGCCTGTGCTGTAGTCTGTGGACATTGAATTGCCAAACCACGAAATAACATCCAGGCCCAATTATAAGCATGCCAACCTCTATTCTTTGTTAGCACCTTTTATAAAAGACTTCTTACAAAAACTTCTATGGATCACTAACATACAAGCCACTAGTTGAGGTTATATTTTGTATGAGATCTAGATTTTGATTTAATTTAGTTTTTAAATTTTATAAAAATTACAAATAAATTTGGTTAAAAAGTATTTTTAATTTAACCAGAATTTTTTTTATAAAATTAAATTTAGATTTTATTTGATCAAACATTAGCGTAAATTTTGACTTGTACATCTAATTTAAAATATTTTTTTTAATAATAATAATAATAATATCTTTTTACTAAACATGCATTTAATTTAAAATCATCTACAAAAAACAACTCTTCAATTATGACTAAAAAGTAAAAATATTTTCATACGTCATAGACTCAGCCAGTCATCTAGTACATCTAAAAATTTGGCATTCCCTTTCAGGCACGCTCTTTGTTTTCTTGTTTCAATGCCTCACTTTGGCAGAGATCTTAAAGAACAGCGAGGGTTTTTAATTAACAATGAAACTTAAGATCAGCAACAATTGGACGAGTGTGTACATAGAATATTTCAAAAGAAAAAAGAATGAAGCAAATACCAAAGCGCAAGGGTACCTTCAATTAATAATGATAGGATTACAGTATTTTCTCTTTTGCCTCCTAGCTTTCCGCAAAATCCTTGCAGTGTCTTCCCTTGATTCACCGATTATGGGGTTTCTGATGCCTTGAACAGGGAAAACAGGTAGCATTTAGAGCGACGTTAGCAGATCGCATAATGGTTCTGAAAATCTTCTTCCTCGAAACACCTGTTTCTTTAACATCGAGCAAGCAGGAAAAACCTCCATCAATCTCCTCATCTGAATCGATAACAACTCTACTTTGTTCTTCCTGCAATATGGATCAACATTTTAAATTGACCAAGAATATTAGGTGAAAATTTTCTTTGAATCAGTAAGCAGAAGATTTCCCATGAAACCCATACAACAGACGTCATTCACGTGTTGTTTATTTTTTAAGGGATATAACTTTGCTGCAACTACTTTTACCACGCCAATCAACCAGGAAGAGCCAACAAACACCACATCCCAACTAAAACCCTGTGTTTGCTTAGAAACACTGGGAAGACCAAAAACATGTGCACACTAAGAACTACCTGTTGATCTGAAGAAACTCTGGTGCGTTTCTGCTCCCTGAAGGATGCCGCTTGCGTAAATGTGTGTTGTTTCACCTTTACAGACTTCCAACCTCCCATTTCCATCATCGGAACTGTTTCTGCTTGCCCAGCAACCTTTGGAAGCAAAGTCGGCCTGCAATCGAGAAAAATCATTCAGGGCTCTTAGTTTGATACAATGATTATTTCAATTAAGTTTAACAATTGAACAACCAAAGTGGATCATTAATTTTTCTTATGTGCTGTGTTTTTCTTGTTTCTTTTTTATTTTCTTTACTCTTACTGGTATCTCTCTCCATTTTCTCTTAATTTTTCTTCATCTTTCTTTGTGTGATTTCTCCCTTCTTATGTATCCAAGATGGTTTATTTATATGACATTCCATACAAATTTTTTTATCACTACTTATCCCTTATCTCCTCATCCCTCTATATTTTATCTCATAATTATTTTCTCCTCATCCTTCTATATTTTATTTCATAATTGTTTTAGAGAGTGGCTCAAACTATGGTTATCCATTTGAGTCTTTGTTTCTTTTACATACTTTTCATTCTACTCCTTATTTTTAAAATTTTTTATACTTGGAAAAAATAATAAAAAATAGGTTGTTATAATAATAATCACTTTATACATCTTATCTTATCTAAGAAAAGCTACTTCATATTTTTTTTAATTATAAAAAAGCCTAATATATTTACACGTTAAGAGTTTACCTAAACAAGTATATTTGTAATTATTATTAAAAGTAAGATACTATTATGGATAAGAATTATGATTTGGAACATGAGCTTTGTAATAAGATCTAATCTTCACTTTTGAAATACAAGCATTGGAACAATTTATATGTTGAGAAATTAATAGATATAAATCTATTCAAGATTATGTTGATTGAAATAGGTTTAAAGACCGACACTCATATTTAATGGGCGCATACATGGAATTATAATAATCTAATTTAAATTTATTCACATCATAAAAGAAAGGTATCCTAGAAAAAAAAAAACATGAAAATAAATTCATATATATCAACATGAATATATAGGTTATTTATAATTAAAAAGGTTATACAAATATTTACATTTATGAATTTAAAAATACTATTGTCATTATAAGTGACTTTACTTCTTGAAGGGCAATGATTATATAGTTAGAACAATAATTTTAAAGAGTATTGTTATGGACACCCTTAAACCCACGAATTCATATTCACAAAAGAAAAAATATATTACTATTATTGCTATATTTTTTTAAAAAATAAAATTATAAAAAAAATAATATCTTAAAAATATCTTAAACATGATAAAATTATTTATTATGCATTTTACTATCCACTCATCATTAATCTAGGATAATACTCAATGATGGTTCATTGATCTTATGTGGATTTATTAATAATAAAAAACTAATACATAATTAAATTGCAAGAAAAAAATCTAAAAAAAACATTTTAGAACACAATAAAGTTATTTATTAATCAATTCATTACTCATTAACATAAAACAATGTCTAATGACAATTCATTAATCCTATATGGATTTATAAATAATAAATCAACTAATATAAAATGAAATCACAATAAAACACGTCTTAGACAATATATTTAAACACAATAATATCATGTATTATTCAATTTATTACCTATTCATCAATAGCATTGGATAATGTTTAGTGACAGTTCATTTATCCTAAGTGAACTCATAGATAATGGAGCAACAAATACATAATGAAATTAAATGTTAAAACCATGAATACATAACATGACAAATAAAAAACATCATCAAATAAAAAAATATAAACAAAAAAAATAAAAAAATACCATCATCACTAGAGGCAGAGTAAGAAAAAAAAATTAAAGGGAATAAAATTAAAATAATTATTTTAAAAGAGTTAAAATTTTAATTATTTTATATAATGAAAGGGCTGAGAAAAAATTCCTTGCAGGGACCCAGTCCCTGCTAGCTCCCCTCTTCGTCATTGATCACAACACAACATAACAAATAAAAGATAGCATCGACAAAACATAAAAATTAATAATAAAAACAATATCAACATAAAAAATAAAAAATAACATCACCACACAACATCATAAATAAAAAAACAATTTAAAAAAAATGAAGAAAGTTGGAATAAAAAATCATTTGGTTGTGGAGATGAAGATAAAAATTGTGTTTTTTTTTCATTAGGGATTCTTTTTAACCAATTTTATGAACCAATTTAAATTTTTTCCCCCCACAAATATCACTTTAAATATTTATAATTTGAACCTCTGTCATTAAATTCAAATATGAACCATTAATTTTAATTAACTTAATTTCCATAATCAAATTTGAAAAAGCAGAAAATATTAAAAAAAATAATTATAAAAAATATGAGAAAGAAAAAAAAGAGAGAGAAAAAATACAAGACAAATATATTGGATTTTTATGCTTTTATAATTTACACATTTGTTAAATATATTATGTCACACACACATACATTATAATCCTTTAAAAATATGTTTTGAGAATATAATTGTATTAAAAGTTTGGTTTTTTCATTTTGTAAAATATACAAAAATATCAACTGTTCAAAATAAATAATAAATTATTCTATACAATCTCATATTTTTTAACAATTGAAAATTAATGAATTAAATAAATTATTTTTTTATGAATTGAATAAAATCAATTAAGTACAAATTACGTTTTTTTCAAGAAAAGGTTATAAGAAGAAAGGTTGTTTTGCTGAATGAGTGAGTATTTTAACATTATAAAAGAGAATAAATATCATTATTAAAAAATTAATATAATAATTAAGGAATACATGATATTAAAATAAAAATTATTAATCTTCTCAAACAAATCGAATTTAATGATAAAGAGGTGGGGATTAAATGATAATAAAAAAATGTGTGTTTATAATAAAATTATTATTTTATATTTTTAATTGTCTTATTTTTAACTTTGTAATTATGTAAATATTTTATTTGATGTATGATTTATTTTATTGATGTTAATTATTTTTTTATTTTTCATGAAAAATAATTAACCAGGTGACGTATTCTTTCTTCCCATTTTTTCCTTCTTTAATTTCTCGTTTCGATCATATCAATTTATCTCATCTCTCTTTCTCAAGTATTAGATCTTGAATATTATATTTTAATGATTAGATCTTCCTCAAATTTTAGATTGATTTTTATTAAAATTAATTATTTTACATGAAAATTGGCTTTGGGATTAATTATTTTATACAAAATTAATACTCAGAAATGCGACTGTTTTTTAAATTGCATTATTTTACCAATACTTTTTTAAACTATGCATTCTCTGAAGAATTTTACCAAACATTTATTTTTCAAAAAAAACTATCACAAAAAGAAATGCACTTGAGGGTATGTTTGTAAATTAGAAAAGACATTTAAGAATAAAATTGATATAATAAAATAATTATGGGACTCGACATGTAACATTGTTATGCGTGGTAAATTTGAGGTTTGACGTTTTTTAAGTACTAAAAAAATGTTGCATCCGTGTGCGTTTGTCTGTGGGGTCGAAGTACTCATTCGCAAGTCCCAAAAGAGCGTTTTGAGAAGAGAAAGTTTTCGAGACGTCCAATGAAAAGATTTTCAAAAGCAATTAAAAAAAAAAAAGCACCAATATTCCACCTTTTTCTTTTGTTCTTTTTACGTGCGATCAAATTGGAAAACGACACCTTCACGTGTACGGTGGGCTATGACACCACATGAGTTGGTCCTCCTACGTGGTCCAAACTTGACAGCCGCGGGAAGAGTAATTCAGGTAGCGTTTATTACAGTGTAGTTGTTTGTTTTTTCTTTTTTCTTTTTTAAAAAAAAAAAACAAAAATACTTTTTATTTGATAGTATATTAAAATAATATTTTTTATTTTTAAAATTTTAGTTTTTATATCATTATATTAAAACAATTTAAAATATAAAAGAATATTTTTTAAAAAAAGCATGGCATAATTGCAATAATAAACAAACTCTTAACATCTTTAAAACATTTAAAATTTTATTAAGTGCAAATGTTTTTTTATTCAAAAAAGTGCATAAAAAACAAAAAAAAAATACTTGAAAATTACATGTTATATATAAATATTATTTATTCAAAGTTTTAATGGCGTGAATAGTGTGTGTGTCTATATATATATATATATATATGTAGACAGAGAGAGAGAACATTTGTAATTGAAAATCCTAAAACATTAAGAAAATTTTATTAATAGAACTTATTTGGATAATAATTTAAAACTTTAAATCCTAAATTATTATTTTTTATAGAGTCATTATAATTTTATTACTTGGATAACATATTTGATGGGCCAATATAAGTTAATCCTAATCTATGTAATATGTTGTTGTTTGAAATTCTTAATAAAATATTGTTTTGATTTTTTTGAGTTGAATTATATTTTATTGGTTATTAGATTTGTTTCTAAACTAATTAAGTCAACTAAATTATATTAAATTATTTTTTATATAATTAAATTAAAAATTATTAACAACACTTAAATATTTGTTTTACATAAAAATAATAATTATATGACTCGCAACATATATTATATTGTTGCTAAACAAACTGCTTCTGTGATTTTTACAAAGAAACAACAAAAAGTTTCTTTACTAAATAATTTTGAAGTTTTGAGGTTTTATTTCATGAAATGCTTTAATAAAGACTCCAAAATTATTTGCAGTATAAAATTTTTAATTTAATAAAAGAAGGAAATGATGAGATTTTAATTTATAATTGATTAATTATTAAGATTCTAATATAATATTAGATGATATTCTAATATATAATTTATATTATTTTTAAACATTTTATATTTATTTAAAAAGATAGGGAAATGATAATTATATATATATATATATATTATTAAAATACGTAAAAATTGAGAAAGAAAAAGTGTGTAAAATAATTTCTGATCTGTAATGTTTTTCAAACTTTTGGAAACTGATGTTTTTGAAGAATCAATTTTATAAATCCAAATAGAAATAAATATTATAATGCATGGTGACGCTAGTCTAAATTACTAAGCACCTCTTGGAGGTGATTATTTTGATCGATGCCAGGAGCACTAGCAGGCCACAGATGAACGTTCTCTTCGTGTGTTTGTTTCGTGTATCACAACAAAGCTAGCCAGGAAGAAAAACAAGTAATATGGCCGTCCCCATTTTAGTAATTTCATGCTCAAAAATGTTTCTTCTGC